CCGTCTCTTGAAGCGCATAGAAAAGCACTCTGCAAAGACGTGAAATGCCAGAGATTACTGAGATCGTAGAAGTGGAGAAATTTGTAGCTATCCATTAAAGGCTTTTTCTCCTCTTCGTTTTCCTTGGCACAAGTTACCTGTAAAAATTACCAAAAGAGTAAACCAGCTTCACATGAAAATGAAGCCTATACTTAAAATCATTGTCTTCATCCTGCTTCCTAGTTTTTCAGTCTTGAACCCAAAACAGTGATGAGATTTTAAGCAGTAACAGATAATGAGTTCATTCTTCACTTTATTTTTGAGCCTTCTCAGGCTTTCCTCCATAACCATGAGATCAGACATGTCTCTTTTTTTTTTTATAATGAAAGCTGAGATTTTTTTTTAAAAACTCACAATACTTCAGGCTCCAGGGCTCAGAGAAAAAACAGACTTGGGGAAAATGACAGTAAAAAAATTGTAAGAGTTGGCAACACTGACTAGAGTAAAGCTCATTTTTAATTTGAACCATCAGATGTAGATTGAAAGGCTAAATAGAGGCAAATAATAGCAACAGCAACAAAAAAAGTAATATGGCATTGCAAAGATCTTACTCGTGTGAGTAAAACATGTCTCTCTATGTGCCAGATCATTCACAGTACAGGAGGACATCTGTGTATGTAGCTAATTTTGTCTAGTTGGCTATTCATCGCCTGTATGTCAAGTAACAAACCATAGTCAAGTCCTTACGATGAGCAATATCCCCTATAAAACACCACACGTCACCGCTCAGCAGCAAAACCAAACACATTTTTGCAGTATATATGATAAGCAGGAGGTAGTTGTACACATCCTTAATATTAAAAATGGTGGCTGCGACTCTCGTCCAGCTCCCACAGGAGTTGGGATGTCCTTCCATGAGCTGGAAATAGGAGCTTGTCAAGACTCAAGTGTCCTGTTGCATGTTGCTGTCGCTCTCGCCGTGGAGTTTCCTGGGGAGCAAAGCCGTGCCGCCAGCGAGGCGAGACCCGTGTGGGACACCAGTGGCCATCGCTGGGTCCTCGTGCCTCGTCCCCTTTGCCCACAGCTTTGATCGGGGTAGCAGATTATGTAACCTGGGCTTAAAGGATTTCTGGGACTGGACCATTTTGCAAATGAATCAGCAGTTTCTAACCCCTCCCTGCTGGGATGGGATCTGTTTGCTTCACAGGGAGGCTGCAGACTTTTTTGTTACCTGATTAAATTGACAAAATTCTGGTAATACCTGCTCGCTTTTGAATTAAAGAAAGGACTTCTCAACAAAGCAAAGGGGCTAGATGTTTTCTTCACCCCTTCTTGTAGCTCCCTGCATCTTTTCCATGGACTTAAGAATAAAATCAAGCTTTCCTTTCTGTCCTGATCATACATCTCTAAGTACAACCCCTTTGCCTGCGGGTTCAGCTTTGCTGCCGCTGCTGAAGGTTGTGCCAAGCTCTGTACGGGGAAGAGCTGTCTCGCAGAGCCCGGAGCGGTGCTTGGCCATCCCAGGACAGCCAAACTGAGCCTATGGGGGAGCTCTGGTTCCCGGCGCCTGCCTTCCTGTGCTGATGGCAGAGGTAGGAGGACCGGCAGCCAAAAACAGCTTGAGGAAATCTTTGCAGCCACAGCTCTCTGAAGCCCTGGAGCAAACGGTTTAGCCTAGGATAAGTGAAGGGATTTTATGTTTTGCCTCCTGGCATCCCCTCCTGGGCCCACGGGCAAAACCAGCCGGCAGGGCAGTGCGATTTTGCCACCTCTCACCTGTCAGCTGTGCCACAGGCTGAAGCGTGGCTTGGTGTGGAGGCGTGAGACCAGTACAGCCTTCAACTGGAGGTATTTGCAGAAAGGGATTTGTCTCACGGTTGAAGCCATCTTTCCTCTCTGTCTGAAATAAATAACCAAGTGAGCATGGGACTTAGAGTAAACAAAGACCAAGACCAAGATGTTACCAAATGTGAATGGCTAAAGGCGGGAGGAAGAGAAAACTCTGTTCTAGAAATCTCTGGCATGGTACGGGACACACATAAACACCATTTTCGGAAGGGAGAGGGGAATTGCAAGTGATGGTCACTGTTTAAACAACGATGAAAGGGGGAGGTGGAAGTTATTATTTCATGCCTGAGCACTTTCAGGGACAGCGTGCCACCGTGGCAAGGGAGCTTAGGCGATGCCGTGCAGTTCTCATGCTGCAGTGCTCTGGCATCTCAGCAGTAAACTGCTTTTTGGTTCCTTGCACTGTTAGCTAGCTGAAAAAGCTGTGAGCGATGAGCAAGCAGTGCATGTCTCCCTTCAAGAAAAACCATTCATTCAGCCTTTGTTATTCCTTTAAATCTCCCTTTCACCTAATAGAATTGGTAAGGATAAGAAAACAGCTGGATAAATGAGAATCTGGTGGTCAGTCATTTGTCCCAGTACTAGGTGCCAGGTTTATTCAGAATATGGTTACTTGCTATTAAAATCTGCTGCACTGAGGAGTGCAATATGCATTATGAATTAGCATATTGCCAATGTTGTCCCCATCACACAACAGCCTTTACCATCTCCTGTTAACAAACAAGTTTCCTGGGGGACCTCCTGGTGTACTACAGGCAAGCCAAATCGCAGACCGTGTAATACCTTGAACTCGTAGGATGTGCCCCTGTAACTTCTTAGATGTTCTGTTTTCTGTGGAAGCCAGTCACCCAGGGCTATGGGTGTGGGCTGTGGATGCGAGTGGAAAAATCTGCGTGGCCACAGTTGAATCCCCAGCATGGCAGCAGAGAGGAGAGTGCCGTGGGACTGCAGCTCTCGGCGGGGAAGAGGCGGCAGCCCCGCGGCGCACAGGCTGCCATGGGCAAGTAAAGGGAGAGAGACAGCCTGCAGCCATGCTGCAGCTCACCCCTGCCCTGCACTGAGGTGACAGAGGGGTTTTTTTCTAGGATCTGGTCTGAAAAAGCAAAGTGCAGGTAAAGTGATGTGTTTGTCTTGAGGATGAAAGTCTGAGTCAGGCTTCCCGGAGCTGAATCCTTGGGCATGCTGGGGCAGTGCTCAGCATACTTTGCTGGGATGAAGGGAATGGCAGGTTTTCCTCCTCTTTACCTGTTTGCCTCCAATTCAAGACCAAATGTTGTGGCCACTGGCAAAGCTCAGAGTGCGTCTCAGAGCTGCTCTAAACTAAACAAGCTTGCAGGCGGCTCTGGGGGCTGCTCGGCTGCCGGGATGTGCCAGGACGCAGAGCTGGCTGCCTGCTCCCCTCTCCTCCCCAAAGCCCCATCGGTGGGAGGCACGATGGGCAGGTCCTCCCGATGTGGCGCCAGGTCCAGCCCAGCACAGCCTCGTGGGAAGCACCAGGCAACCGCCACAGAACAGGCTCCTGAGTCTGAAATGATCATTTCCAAGAAGAAATGAGTATTTTGGATATGACATTTAGCTTCTAGCCTTTCGCTAAAGATGAAGTAACAGCTGTGACAGATGAGGTTATTTTATAACCTAAGTATTAAAAGAAAGTGCTTCAGATGTAGAAGGAAGCAAATGCAGCAGTGAGGCAGGGTAGGTAAATAGCAACACACGTTGATAAAACTTGCATGACAGTTTAGTTTCTTCTGCATTGTGTCACCGATGGATCCTCTCTGAAGGAGGTGTATTATGAATCTAATACAGGCAGGAAATTCCTTCTATTCCTCCTAGTTGTCCTCAGCTGCGCTTCTTTGTAGGACATCTGATTTTACAACCATTGTCAATGAAAACCATACAGTAGCTGTCGTTGTAAAAATTTAAATCAGATGTCTGTCTTTGATTCGGTAAATCAGGGCATTTTCCGCAAATTGTAGTGACATACATTTGAATTCGTACCCCAAAACAGCTCTTGCAAAGTGGAGCTTTGCAGAAGCAAACTGGAAAGACAGGAAGAATTCCCCATACAGGCTCATTTCTTTGGTATGTTCCTGTAAATCTTTTAATTTGTTTCAGTTTAGAAGGAAGTTGTGCAAAAGCCCCTAATTTGTTGCACAGACAGTTATCTGTTCTCCCACCACGATGGAGAACTTTGCTTCTGACCATGGCCAGGTATTGTGTTCTCGCAGTACTGTGAAAAGATTTGTTAGTTCAGTTCATTCCTCAAGACTATCTTTCTAATGTCAACATTGAACTGTTGTTCTGTCGAAAATAAAAACTACTCAAATGTGGAAAAATACACCCCCAACCTGTTAGAGAAGCAAGTTGAGAATACAGGAATTTTGTAA